AGCACAGCAGCACTGTACAGCACAGCAGCACTGTACAGCACAGCAGCACTGTACAGCACAGCAGCACTGTACAGCACAGCAGCACAGTACAGCACAGCAGCACTGTACAGCAGCACTGTACAGCAGCACTGTACAGCAGCACTGTACAGCACAGACGCTGTGCCATCAACAGACATGTTTAAATATAGAGCGTCAAGTGCACACCAGAGCTGTAGCCGGAGCACGTGGCTTACATACATGCACACGCACACGTAGGTCACCTACACGCACACGTAGGTCACCTACACGCACATGTGGGTCACCTACACGCACATGTGGGTCACCTACACGCACATGTGGGTCACCTACACGCACATGTGGGTCACCCACACGCACACGAAGGTCACAATAATTAACTAAACTCTAATCTAACCTAAAATGTTAACTCACTTGCGTTGTACGCATTGCTAATAGAGTGACAGCAACTGCAGAGAAGTAGCACGATTTTAAGAATACAATCTAAGAAACATTATCTCTATTTCAGCAACCCATTTCAGGCTACAGTACTTTATTCTAGCAACCCATTTCAGGCAAACCCTTTTTCTAGGAACCCATTTCTGGCAACTATACCTTCATTCTAGCAACCCATTTCAGGCAACTATACCTTCATTCTAACAATTCATTTCAAGCAAAAGTACTTTATTCCAGCAACCCATTTCAGGCAACAGTACTTTATTCCAGCAACCCATTTCAGGCAACAGTACTTTATTCCAGCAACCCATTTCAGGCAACAGTACTTTATTCCAGCAACTCATTTCAGGCAACTATGCCTTCATTCTAACAACCCATTTCAGGCAACAATACCTTTTTTCTAGCAACCCATTTCAGGCAAATATAACTTCATTCTATAGGAACGCATTTCAGGCAACATTATTTTATTCTAGCAACCCAATTCAGACAACAATACTTTATTCTAGCAACCCATTTTAGGTAACAAAGTCTGCATTCTACCAACCCATTTCAGTCAAAAATACCTTTTTTCTTAGAACCCATTTCAGGCAACAATACCTTCACTCAAGCAGCCCATTTCAGGCAAGAGTACTTTATTCCAGCAACCCATTTCAAGTAACATATCATGGAGCTGTTGGCTTGGTTGCACCTAATGGCTGCGATATCAAACACTGAGGAGCTTAGCTTCATAAAACAAAAGCAACGTGACGCGGTTTGTAGAGCATTCCTTTCGCAGGCCCGCGCTCCTTGAGCCTTTATTGCTACGCTTGAGCCAGCTAACCTGCTTATAGTCTTGGACCAGCTAACCTGCTTATAGTCTTGAGCCAGCTAACCTGCTTAGAGTCTTGAGCCAGTTAACCTGCTTAGAGTCTTGAGCCAGTTAACCTGCTTAGAGTCTTGAGCCAGCTAACCTGCTTAGAGTCTTGAGCCAGCTAACCTGCTTATAGTCTTGAGCCAGCTAACCTGCTTAGAGTCTTGAGCCAGCTAACCTGCTTATAGTCTTGAGCCAGCTAACCTGCTTAGAGTCTTGAGCCAGCTAACCTGCTTATAGTCTTGAGCCAGCTAACCTGCTTAGAGTCTTGAGCCAGCTAACCTGCTTATAGTCTTGAGCCAGCTAACCTGCTTAGAGTCTTGAGCCAGCTAACCTGCTTATAGTCTTGAGCCAGCTAACCTGCTTAGAGTCTTGAGCCAGCTAACCTGCTTATAGTCTTGAGCCAGCTAACCTGCTTAGAGTCTTGAGCCAGCTAACCTGCTTATAGTCTTGAGCCAGCTAACCTGCTTAGAGTCTTGAGCCAGCTAACCTGCTTATAGTCTTGAGCCAGCTAACCTGCTTAGAGTCTTGAGCCAGCTAACCTGCTTATAGTCTTGAGCCAGCTAACCTGCTTAGAGTCTTGAGCCAGCTAACCTGCTTATAGTCTTGAGCCAGCTAACCTGCTTAGAGTCTTGAGCCAGCTAACCTGCTTATAGTCTTGAGCCNTGAGGCACAGTTCTGAGGCACAGTTCTGATTAGCAGTCCTGAGGCACAGTTTTGAGGCACAGTTCTGAGGCACAGTTCTGAGACGCAAACTCCTATTGTGACTCTTATTTCACATAAGAGTCACAATAACCGTTATTGTGACTCTTTGTGGCAAGAGTCACAATAACGGTGAGATAAGAGTCGCAATAGCGGCAGTATAGTCACAATATGTCACAATAGCAGTGTAATAAGACTCACAGTAGCAGTACAATAAGAGTCACAATCGTGGCACAATAAGCAACACAATAGCGGCACAATAAGCAACACAATAGCGGCACAATATTTGGCCAGGCTTCTTGCAATGCGACCTTGCATCGCTTGCCAGCTTCGCTGATTGATTTAAATGCTTCGCGTGGGCTTCTCGCGTGTGTTTTTGTGTTTTTCGCTTTCTTCGTGTATGCTTCACGTGTACTTTTCGCGTGTGTTTTGTGTTTCTCGTTTTCTTTGTGTATGCTCCGCGTGTACTTCTCGTGTGCTTTTTGTGAGATTTTGTGCTCGTTTTCTTCGTGTATGCTTCGCGTGTACTTCTCACGTGTGTTTTTGTGCTTCTCACTTTCTTCGTGTATGCTTCGCGCGGCTTTTCATGGGCTTTGCGTGGGATTTTGTGCTTCTCGCGTGTTCCCCCAACTTTAGCCCCACGCTCCACCGTGGCACTTCACCTTGTGACCTTATGATGAGTTTAGGACTTTGTAGTCCACGGTCACGCTGATGCTCCGTCTTCGTCGTCCTCCGTCTCCGAGTCGTCGCTATAGGCAGGTCACCCCGCCCTCGGGTCCCGGATGTAATACCGGTGGACCGCGATGTAATTCCAGATGTAATACCGATGTAATACACCGGTAATACCGGTGGACCGCGATGTAATTCCAGATGTAATACCGATGTAATACACCGGTAATACCGGTGGACCGCGATGTAATTCCAGATGTAATACCGATGTAATACACCGGTAATACCGGTGGACCGCGATGTAATTCCAGATGTAATACCGATGTAATACACCGGTAATACCGGTGGACCGCGATGTAATTCCAGATGTAATACCGATGTAATACACCGGTAATACCGGTGGACCGCGATGTAATTCCAGATGTAATACCGATGTAATACACCGGTAATACCGGTGGACCGCGATGTAATTCCAGATGTAATACCGATGTAATACACCGGTAATACCGGTGGACCGNGGACACACTTGTCATACTGTCTAGACACACTTGTCATACTGTCTGGACACACTTGTCATACTGTCTGGACACACTTGTCATACTGTCTAGACACACTTGTCATACTGTCTGGACACACTTGTCATACTGTCTAGACACACTTGTCATACTGTCTAGACACCCTTGTCATACTGTCTAGACACACTTGTCACACTTATCATACTGTCTGGACACACTTGTCATACTGTCTAGACACACTTGTCATACTGTCTGGACACACTTGTCATACTGTCTGGACACGCTCGTCCTACTCTCAGTCGACTTTAAAGCCAGAAACTAAAATCTGACCAGAAGCTCATCTCCATCGGGTGACCAAGCAGAGCCAGAAAACTCTTAGCCGAGTGAAGCGAATCCTGGGCATAAGCCTAGGCTATAAGCAAATTTTGCTAGGGCTGTCCACGGACGATTTTCTGCAATATAATAATAATGAAAAGTATAAATGTCGTGTTATACTCCGACAACAGCTTCCTCACACAAAGCATTTGTTAAAATAAAAATTTATGGAGTAGTTATACACGGCAGGGAATTTCAGAGCAAGCGACACGTTTGGATGGAGTGTCAGCGGTTGACAGCGCGTAGTCAGGGCCAGAATGTCAGCCTGGCTCTGGGTTGCATCTTTTTATTTTGCAATAAAACATTCTATGTGAACACATGGGATCCGAGCTCGTAACTACACCTCAAATTTTGATCATCAGCCTAAGAGTTGGTAGATATTTTCTACTGATACATAAATATTTATACTGATAGGAAGATATTTAATACTGATAGATATATATTTTATACCGACAGATAGATATTTTATACTGATAGATATTTTATACTTCTTAAATTTTGAATATTACTAAAAGCTTGCCTACCCTCGCCACAGCGGCTCGACGTACGAGGGTCAGTGGCAGAACGGCAAGCGCCACGGCTTGGGCGTGGAGTCCCGCGGCCGGTGGCTGTACCGCGGCGAGTGGACACAAGGCTTCAAGGGCCGCTACGGCGTCCGCCAGTCCGTGTCCTCCGTGGCCAAGTATGAAGGCACGTGGGCCAACGGCCTGCAAGACGGCTACGGCTCCGAGACATACGCTGATTCTGGTGAGCCGTAGTGATGTATTTAAGACATACGCTGACTCTGGTGAGCCGTAGTGCTGTATTTAACACTCTTTTATTTAATGGTGAGACATACGCTGACTCTGGTGAGCCGTAGTTATGTATTTAAGATTTTATTATTTAATGGTGAGACATACGCTGACTCTGGTGAGCCGGAGAGCCGTAGTGATGTATTCAACACTTTATTATTTCATGGTGATGGCAATTTAAGCGTTGTTTTAACGATATCAACTCTTAATCAATGTTGTTTCAATTTTGTTTGCATGTAGAGTGTGCTCCTCATTCTTCGGGTACGACGATAATGTATTTCTAGTTTCATTCCATTTTTTTGGCGAGGAAAACTTCATAAAGTTTGTGAGATCAAAAAACTTATTATTCTATTATAAAATTCACAAAACTGTAAAAGAAATGCATTATGAATAGAAAAATCTAAGTTTAACATTCATGGTTCATTTCAACATTGCGCATTGACATTTTTTCATTTTCATTACTAAAATTCATTACAAAGCACAAAACTTTGTGCTAATGTGCTTAATGTTGAGCAGGTATGAGAGTTTTGTGCTAATGTGTTGAATTTTGGGCATGCATTGCAACTCAATTCTAGTTTTTACATGAGAAGTTTAAGTTTCAACAAAAATGTTCGAATAGGAAAAGAAACAAAAAGCGCTACCTAAAATTCATTCATCACGCAATGCCCGAAGTGAATGCGGGGCAAATGAAAACGAGATTCTTTTTAAGAAATTCTCTCGTGAGTCTAAATTAGTTGTCACAAAAATACGAATCTCTAAAGCTCGAATCTCTAAAATGTTCTCTTTAAAAAAATGTTCTCTCAAAAAATACCTATTGTCGAATTTTCTGAAAATTCTTTTACGAATTATAATAAAAATTTCTAGCCTAAATTTTATCTTTTATTTTGTAAATATTCGTTCATTTAGACGCGCTGAGATGTCAGCAATCAAACTTATTTTATAAGAGAAAAAAATTCTGGGCTTGATTTCCGACTTAGCGGCCAGATGAATTTTCGAACCCGTGCCTTCACTTAGAAAAATGAGAGACTTTGTCTACAATATTGTCTAAATATTTAAAGTGTCAAAGACAAATATTGTCTTTGTCTAAAAAATGGGAGAGTTTGTCTTTGTCTACGGTGTCAGGGTGTATAAGAGCTACGGTGTCAGGGTGTATAAGAGCTACGGTGTCAGGGTGTATAAGAGCTACGGTGTCAGGGTGTATAAGAGCTACGTGAACAAAGTGTGTCATTAATATTTAAACACTTTGACGCCTTCACTTGTCTGAGTGTAGAATCGGAATTTTGATTAAAATTCATTTCATTGTTAAATAGATCATTTTAAAAATTTTAATTCATCAGCAAAGTTGAAAATTTGTGATGCATTTCGGAAAAAAATGAAAAATTCGACGGTTGCAAATGTATTTTCGTTTTTTGAATGACGGTTGATCACAAATTCTTGTCGCTGTCCTTGTTGCGTACGGGCTGACCTAGAGAATAATTTATTACGTTGGCACATTTAGATTATAAAATGTTCATTTCTGCACGCATTTAATCAAGATAAATTTAATATTATTCGAGACAGAGAAGCACGATTGCTTATGTTGAGAAATTTTCATAGCTTCAAGAAAGCCTTTATTTTTGCGCGTAAACGCTTGCTTTAAAGTAAATAATTCAAGAAAATAAATATTGTTTCTGGTCTCCGCGCGTTAGTAAATCGCCATTAGCATTTGTTGAATTTTGTGTCTGCAAATACCGTCAAAATTCTTGCCCTTTAAACTAATTCCTCAATTTTCAATTTGTCCTCATAATCAAAATCGTACATAAGTCTCAAACTCTCCTTAATTTTCTGTTATAAGTGAACAGTTGATACATTTAAAGCTAAGTATACTTTATATGAATTTACAATTGATAACTGGCAGGTAATTGATAATTAATTCACGTATCTTGGGAACCTTCTCTTCCGCCTCAAATTTGTGAGCAGAACATCCGCATCTCTGCTCACAAAAACACCCGCCTCGACTCGAGTGGTCATCGTGTTTTTGCTCACCAGAATCTAAGGTCGCATTAAATGTAGAATTTTTTGAGGTGATGTACGTGGCATATCGGCTTGTGCCGCGTGCGCTGATTGGCTGTACGTGGCATATCGGCTTGTGCCGCGTACGCTGATTGGCTGTGCGCGTGTGGTTCCCTCACGTCGGTATGCCAAGCCATGCCAAGTCTACTGGCTACGGCGTGCCAGGTCTCGACGGTCCTTTAATCTTTAGCGGCTCACGGTTCACTTATTATCATTTATTTCTGTCTCGACTAATACTATATTCTTCTTCTGGTCTCGACCAGCGTTGCGAAGAAATTTGTATTGTCCCAATAGCAGCTCGAGCTTAGTGGATTTTAACCCACCTAGCGTTCATTCAATAGAGTTTTCACTAGAAAATAGCATAAATTCGATATTATTCTGAATAATTTAGGACATTAGTATGTATGGCTGAAAAAAGCGTGAGTTCTCGCATCGCCAGCAGCGGCGCCGGCAGTGAGCTTTGTCTTGAGGGCAGCATGACTCACTTCCGACCGCTTAGTGGGTCGGTGGGCCGAGACGTGGAGTGGGCAAGGGCGTAGAGTGGGCGTGGGATGGTGGGCAGGGACGTGGAGTGGGCAAGGGCGTAGAGTGGGCGTGGGACGTAGGACAGGGACGTGGGAAGGTGGGCAGGGACGTGGAGTGGGCGTGGGACGTTGGACAGGGACGTGGGAAGGTGGGCTGGGACGTAAGTGGACGTGGGACGGTGGACAGGGACGTGGATTGGACGTAAGATCGCCACCGTCACGCCTGCTCTACGTTACCACGAGCTGACGAACTTTACCGCCATGTCACCGTCTAGACAGCGTGATATTATCGGTGCTTTCAGTGTAAAGTAAAGGCACTTTACTCATGATTGAAATAATATCATAATTAATACCTTTTTTACATACCGACCGCACCGTTGTCGAATATCATCAAGTTGTAATTGCTTTCAGTTGTCATTACATTGCGTTATTTCTTGACTTCCTAACGAGCATGTCACCTCAACCCTCACCTCAACCCTCACCTCAACCCTCACCTCAACCCTCACCTCAACCCTCACCTCAACCCTTACCTCAACCCTCACCTCAACCCTCACCTCAACCCTT